CATCTCTGAAATCAAGCCTCTTTCCTGATTTCAGAATGGGTGCCATTTATTATTCAAGAAGGTGCACAAAATGAGATGACCGAGACTCAGATACTCAGCATTTACCAAAAGACAACACCCAATGTACCTTCAGAAAAGATGAAAGAAAAGGAAGAAAGATCATAAAAGATTGCCAATTATCTTGAAATAATTTAAGAACCAAAACTGAGATAACACATCGATATGGCATAAACAAGACCATTCTTGAGGACCCATCTACTTACTATGCAAAAGCAGCATGCTGTGAATTCCTTCCAGGTAGATGGAAATATCAAGTGCAACCTGAAATTCCTTGCTTTGCCTACATAATATAACTCTCATTTAGGAGTAGGTGAAAATGAGTACGCTAATGAAAAGTCCACAATTCTAAACCAACATACCTGCTGTCATACCCAGGGCATCCATGCATACATCTGACAAAAGATGCTTAGTGACAGATTGGTCTCTGGATATCTACAGAAGGCAACGCAAAGCAAGCTAAGAGCTCTTAATGCAGCATCTGGTCTTAAAGAATCAGGATGGACACCAGGAGGTTTTACAAATTCCACAAAAGAAAGTAGCGACTTAAGCATATAATCTGCATAATTTTCTCTTTCACAAGCAACTGTATGAGTACGCTTGCATTTCCCCTGATAATTAGAATCCAAACTCATAATATCTTCATCTGCCTTTTGCCGTTTATTCTTGAAAGTATCCAAATCCTGTATGGGCCTTTTTTCTCCAACCCTCGAGTTTTCGTTTGATTTATCACTTAGTGATGATAAACTCTGACAGTTACAATTTGTAATTCTCCATCCAACAAGATTGGGACTAAGTACAGACTCTACAAGGAGAGCTACTTTTAGGCAATCTATCATCGAGAAGCAGGGTAAGGAGAGACTCTGGCCTCCAGATTTTTTTTTTTGGGAGAGGGGGGGGGGGGGGCACATTTTTGTAATCTGTATGTATACATTGCACAGTGCAACCTGAAATAGAAATTATTTTCAAGACCCTAGAACAAATCAATCCCCCAGATCTGTTACCCATACACAGGGCATGAATGGCTAAAAAGAATAAATAATTTTTCTCAAAGAAAGCAGATGAAACATGATTATTAACCTTAAGCTCCTGGCTTTTGGTTCTCCCCATTGAATGAGAAAATACATCTACTAAATCGGCAGCTGTTAGCTCAACAACATCTTCAGGCAATTACAGTGTAATGCATCAAGGCAACCACCCAAGGACGAATCATAAACGATGTTTCTGCAATGTAAGCCCAAGTTTTGGCATACCAAGGTAAAATTAGAATATAATACTGGATGTAAGGATTTCATTTATAAGTCTCATATACAACCAAAAAAAATTCCCCAAAAAGAAACTTATTATGCCACAAAGACCACTAATACATAATGATGACCAATAGCACTAATGACTCTTTCAACCATGCAGTACAGACCACATAAACGTGTGCAGGTTTGCAATACCTATCTATATATGATATCTACCACAGTACATCATGCATTACCTGTCTTTACACGTCTAAATTCATTTCTCTTCTGTTTCATGCATAATCAACTTGAAACCCAGTGCCGTGCAGACTGTCCCCAAACATCAAATCGTGTATAAACCCAACTCGGAGACAAGTGCTTCTCAAGCATTGAGAATTTTAATGGAAAATAGATCAGCAGTAAACTCAATAAGACCCTAAGAACCACAAGCGATGTTTCTATATGCATAAAAGAACATGAACTAATGAGAGAGGTCTACAACATGGTGATGTGATTTAAGGGGATCAAAAATTAATACTATAATACTAATCAATTTGACCAAAAATAGTTCATAATTGTAACATAAAGAGAAACATTGCTTTGAAAGTTCATTTAATTGGGTGACTTTCACTTTGCACTCTAATAAAATTCTAATAGCAAACAATCAAAGTTTTGAGCATTCAACCTGAACGCACGAAACCCCTCTTTGTCCTCCCTTAATATAGTTGATATCGATTGGATTATATTTTGATAAGGAAGGATGTCATAGTTTATCCCTGATCCAACAACACGTGCAAATTCAAAACATGCCTTGCATAAAATTCAGGTAGTTAGCATTCTACAGAATAAGGCTGCTTACATATATGAAACTGAATCAGCTTTGTAATATTTCTTTCAAGTCGCACTAAAACCATAAAATTGACTTTTACACTAAGAATGCCAGCATAAAGCAATCGATGCTCACCATCTGCAAATCAGCATCCCCATGACATAGGAGGGAACATGCGTCCCGAACAAAAGGCACATTAATTAGTCCTTCCACATACAGAGTTCCTTCGGTTAAGCATCTAACAACAATCTTTATCATCCAGGTTGCAAAAGGGTGCCACCTTGTTTTGCCCATAAGGCTAATCAAGACACCAATCCATCATCCGGTTTAGTACTTGCTGGAAGATCCCCAAGAGGATCGGGGTCATCAAAAATTCCATTGAAGGACTCACAAAAACACCTTAAAGTCAATTTAGTTGATTCCGTAATATTTAAAACTTGTTAAATACTCGAACTAAGCGATTAACATCTTGTTGAACATTGCATTCTTACCTCGAACAACAAGCATGGAATCAATAAAAAACTGACAGTAGGCATCCGTGCTCCAGTACGAAGTAGCGCTAAAAGTGGTCCAACAGTCTCAAATATTACCCCATGCCTAGAACTAAAACAACGGAAACTACTTTTGAGCATAAAATGCAACAAAAAGCAATCGAAATAACCACAATCACGTAATGTTTGCGCAGAATGAGCTCATTTTTCAATCCCCAAAGCTGTTTTCAATTTCCCAAACGAAGCAAAAGAAGCTGAAAAGCAATTAAAAGTTCGTGAATGAAAATTGAAGTCGCTTGCTTACCGGAACGAGGGCTCTGCCAAGAAAGGCAAGATGCGACCGATCAGAGGAAGAATTGCGGTGGCCTTTCCATGGTGGAAAACTCCGGGCAAATGCCTGGCAGTGATAACGATGAGCTTCAATACAGCTATCACTTCTCGCTCGTTCGCTGCAGACAGTGAAAAATTACGCTCAAAACGCCGTCGCATTGTACTTCACTAGAGAGAGAGAGAGAGATGAGGGGACGTGGGGTACCTGAGGGAGATGGAACGACGGAGGCGTGGAGGAGGTCGGGGAGGACGGCGCGGAATCGGTCACCAAATCGTCGTCGTAGCGGTTGTTAGGAGGGGTGGAGGGGGCCGCTATGCGTTCTCGGAGCTCGTGGACGAGGCTCGACAGGTTCGCCATTCCCATTCTCTCTCATGCCCTCTCTCTCTCTTCTTCCCTCTTAATTTCGTAGTGAACTACAGAGTAAAGGTACCCGCTTCACTCCCGCTCTGTCAGAAATCGGCCGCCTCCCTCTCCATTGGGCCCATTTCTGTATCTGAGTTGGGCCCAGCCCAAACTGATGACGTCACTTTCTTTTCAGTTTCAAGATGTCTTTTGTCACTCTTGCCTTGCCCTTGCCTTTGCTCCTCTAAAACGGGTGATATGCTCTTAGCAATGAAACTATTTATATCGTCTTCCTATCATAAAGGGAAAAAAAAAACTGACCATTTGCATTTAATAAAGTGAAATTTACGTGTTCACCTCAATTAGGCCTGGTTTGGTACTGAGGTGATTCTGAAAAAAGCTGGCATCAAAAAAAGCTGGGAGTTGTTTTTGTGTTTGGTAAACATTCAGCTTCAGCTTTTTTTCACAGTTTTGGATGAAAAAAAGCCAAAACCAAGAAGCTGCAAAACCCAGCTTTGAAAAACTGGCTTTTTTTCACATCTGTTTTACATAAAAGTTTACTAAACATTATAATACTGCTTTTTTTTTTCAAAAGCACTTTTACAAAAAAGTTTACTAAACACTCTGCTGCTTTATTTCACAGCTGCTTATTCTCACAGCATAGCAGAAGCAGCTTTTTTTCAAAGCACAGCAATACCAAACCAGCCCTTAGAGAGATGGCTCATAGGAGCATTTTTATCCGTTTTTGGAGGGCAAGGACAAAATCAATTAGATTGCCTTAGAATTATCTTTGTGCAAGTTCACCCGTTTGGGAAGTGGGAGGGCAAAAGCAAAGGCAATTACCATTCCCATATATATTTTTTATTTTTATGTTTTCTTGGCCGTATTCTCCACATGTCTATATTTTTCAAATACAGTCTAATTCTAATAAATTATTTTAAATACAACGAAAGATAATAGCATTGCAACAAACCTAAGGGAGATTGTAGAAAAAATAGATATTAAGTGTGGTATGGAGAATGAAGAATATAATTGGTTATTAATAGAATAAGGTTTGGTAATTTTATGGATTTTTACTGTTAGAATAATAATGTTAGAATAATATTGATTGTTGATTTTCAAAACTATTACCGTTGGATGTCTAGGATCTCACCACGTGGATGGATGACTGCAGAAAAAGCTACAAATATTTTTTTTTTCCCGTTGGAAATCCAACAACCGAGCTTTTGGATTCATAATGATCCGTTTGGCCTTGTGATGTACTAATGGGGGGCTGTGTCTCCTGCTGATCCAAGGGGCGCAAAACCGTGCAATGATTGCATGAGCAACCCAACGGGCTGCTGCCTTTACTCCATCAGCCCTCCATTTTTTACACCGGTGGACCGCTTTTTTATTAGGCCAAAGGCAATTCAACCCAATTGCCCTATCAATTAAATAATCAATGAAGATGTCCTAAAATGATCACTTGAATAGCATAAGTAGAATAACTCATAATTTTAGTTAAGGACCATTTGCATACGATGTTTTGATAAAGTGAAAATTTACATATTCGCATCAATTAGAAACATACAAAAGATAATCACTTTGGCCAAAGTATAATAACTCGAATTTTAGGCACTAGATTGCCAAAGTAGTTTAGCGACATGTAGAATTTGAATGTAGTCTATTTGAGGAAGGGTGGTAATTTTTTAATTTAATAAATAGATATGTAGTTGCATATATATATGTATAGATATATAGAGATGAAGATATTGAGAGAGATTGAGAGAGTAATACTAATAGCTTTAAGAAAAATCTGCAAAATCAAAGAGAAAAACTGAATGCAACTAACTTAGAGATCAACCCATCGAACCATATCAGATGGATATCATCCTCTCCGTTTCTCCACACGATCCTACTGCATCCGGATGACGTTGGTTCCTTCTGCTTCTCAACAAATTGCCAAGGGATGTAGAAGTCTCTATGTGCTTCTTGGCGAGATCAGATAAGTTTTCATGGACTGCTTTGTTTCCTCAATCGGCTTTAGTTGCCGTGTAAACAGAGGGAACCTGGCCAACCTGGCCAGTCATGCCAGGCATGGCACGGACGTTTATGTCAATTGGCAGAAGGCGGTACTGGATGTCAAGCTCCTGGAATATACGTACCATCTCTTCGACCAAGTAGCCTCGCCTTACCCACCTTTCTCCTATGTCCTGGAAGTTCATTCTATGTTGAGGCCAAATTGCAAACCTTACCCTGTTTAGTTCTTCTACATCCTTCATTATAAGCATTGGTGCTGGATACCAGTGCTCCTTCTTGTTCTCGATGTAACTGTAATCGCCAACCATAGGAAATAATTTAGTAACCAGACATTAAAGTTAGGAGTTGAGGTTTTCCGCATTTTTGCAAAACTAATACAATATTCTTAAGTACGGAGTGACAAATGATAATTCTGCATACCTGATTATTCTTTGCCTCATTAAAACAATCCTATCTGGCGGAGTTGATATGTGGATGCAGAACTCAATAGCATCTCCCGTGTCAGGACTACGATAGAAGTTAAATATGGGCAGCGTCGCGAGGATGCTGTTTGGGTACACGATTTTTGTGTTGTCATACCTTAAGAAAACTGTAGACAAGATGTTCATTTCTTCCACTACCATCTGAGAGTGATTGATAAACGAATTAGGCACCAAACATTAAAATGAAAAGAAAGGAAAAAAAAAAGTCTTAGCATGTGACACAGGTAAAGATAGAAATGTACCTGAACTCCGTCTATTTCGCACCGATCTCCCACATCAAAGGGGTGCCTCACGAATAAAAATATAACTGCTTCAAATACCGTCTTGCAGGTGTTACCAAAGACAAATGCCAAAACCACAAGCTGAGAACTCACAAACAAGAGAAATTTGGTGGTGGCAATTCCCAGCACAATAAGCCATATTACTACTATAACAATGGCAACTATTATGTTCACCATGCGATGAAGTGTATTCACAGCCGTTTTGGTATCATTCAGCGTCAAAGCAAGTGCTCTCCGTTCTCTGAAGGCATTGATCTGGAACCAATTCAGCACTGTACTTATCAAGCTAATCAAAACCACGTTCAGGCATTGTTTTGATGACATAGGGGTTTTAAACACTCTAACATGAAACTCTCCTGCGGAGTTGCATTCACGTTCATACATGAATTTGTTTAATGTCTATAATTATCTGCTGCATTGTTTATCAAAGATTAACTCCCTTTTTCTGTCTTCTACTATTTTGGAATTTTAAGTTGGTAAGCCGGGCAACGAAAGTAACTAAAACCAAAATTTAACAGGGTTTGTTTAAGATTCCTACACTTTAAACATGAAACTTACCACCCAATTTTTCAAGGCAGATTTGCTGATTCTTTTGTGCTCGGATGCCCCTTCAAAGAGACTCATAGTCTTCACAGCCTCGTCTTCTTCCATGAAACACATCAAATCCTCCAGGTAGATGAACCTACAAGAAAAATGGGTAAGTTGGATTCGCTCAAAAGATAGAATGTAAGGGAGACAAAAATCAAGACAAAATCAAGACAAATTAAAATGAGAAAACATATGGCATATAGCATCCTTTACACTCTAGGTTGTATCCTTATTTTTTATTTTCTCTCTTACTTCCTCGTCGACTTAGAAGCATCTCCTCGTTGACTTAGGAGCATCTCCTCGTTTCCCATTTTAATTTCCCAACTGAATTATCATCCATTGATATGTGTGGCACAAAACAGCCACCTAAATACAGATGGCATCTAGCACAAATCACGTGATATGAAGCAGTCAACTAACAGTAACATAACATAAATGTATATCTTCCGTACAACAGTTGGTGTTGAATATCTAAAACTAGAATTTTGGGAACTGGAGAAATAGTGAATAGTGAACACTGAACACGATGAACCAAAAACAGCTAACGGAATACACTACGCCTTCCAAATGTGAAGAGAACAATAATTGATCGAAAATCAAGTTCACACGAAGAAACAAATAGGAACCAAAGTTTAGAAACACTAGAACACGGTAAAACCAAGTAACAGTCCAGATCAAATCGTAAACCCGTGTGGTTATAATGAAGATGGGAAAGAATCGAAACTTACTTGGAACCACGCCTAGCCACATTCTGAAATATCTTTTTAGCAGCAGCCTTTGCCTCAACCTCACTCCTGATCTGGGTATCGGCCTCATCCTCACCAGTGGCATCCAGAATCTGCTCATCAAGTGTCGTAAGATGCCCCTTTCTAACTATATTCATCAGCCTCTTCATATTCCAAGCAGACACATTCTTGGGATTGAGCTTATGCAAGTGATCAATCGTGATCCCGGTCTCCTCTGCCCTCTTGGAAAGTGGCTTAGAATACTTGGTGCTCTTCCCAATAAGCCCGCTACTCGCAATCACCCTCTCACTCCTCATCGAATCACTCCCAATCACCCTCCCAATCCTCGGGGACGGGAATGCATTTGCCTTGAGGGCAGGAGGCATGGTAGCCCCAGCACTCTGCAGCTTCCTGACCTCATCCACCAACTTCTCCTCCTCCTCCTCCGCATTCTGTATCTCAACCAAAGGGCGCCCGGACAGCGTCTCAATCACATACTGATTAAAAAGAGCGTCCTGAATCCGATCAAAATACGAGTTCACATGGAACGATGAAGCTAACACCTTCACAATCAACGTCTTCACCAGCCACAGCAACACTCCAATCAAGAGACAAAGCAAGATTTTCGTCACATAGGCAAGCACCTCGCTCTTGGTCTCCCTCTCCACCTTCTTGTCAAACATGAAATGCCATGCGATTAGAACCAGGCCGAGCCAGAGGCAGTTCTGCACCGCCTTTCGGACTCCATATACGAAATACAAAATCCTCTTACGCAGATAGAAATTCCTCTCCACAAAAAACACCACGATCCTAATCCCCCAACCCGAAACTAATCTCCCGCAAATCAGAACCAAAATCAAGACCTCCCACTTCCACAATATCAATTTCCACAAGCTCTTCTGCCTCAAAACTGGAATCGTCAGCGTGCAAACCAGAGCCCCAATGATCAAAATCAAGCTTACCCATTGAAGCAGCGTCACTGCGTTGAACTTCGCCCTCTTGTACTTGTGCGGCACGTCCTCCTCCAGAAACGGGTCGTCGTCCTCGTCGTCGCCACCGCGGCTCAGCATACCGGACCTCATCAGACCCGATCTCGGGATCTGGCCTGAGCGCGGGATTCGGCTCGATTTGAAGTCTGGCTCCTCAGGCGGGTCGATTAGTCTGGACTTGGTCTTTATTCTCAGCAAATCGGACCTGTTCGCGAACGAAGGCTCTCTGCGGAATGAGGCGTTGGAAGTACAGCGGACAACGTCGTCCTGTCCGTTGCTCAACCTTCCGCTGCGGTGCCGCTCCTCGTCGCGGGACTCCCTGTATCGCCTCCGAACCGACTCGGTTTGCGGTGTATCGGGGAGGTCCGACGCCGGCGATTGGAACGAAACTTTTCGCGAGTCCATCGGACTCGGCAACTCGGCTAGCGGCGGCAAGTCGCGCTCGTTCTGCCGCAGCTCCTCCATATCCAAATCCATGTCAAGCGTCATGTCGCCGGAAGCTCTCTGCTTGTGCAGGAACTGCCCAATCAGCTTCGACGGCGGATCCTCCCCCGGCACCGTGGCCGTCTTCCCGCGCTGCACGAAATCAAAACTCTCGGCATTGCCGTCGTCGTTGCTGTCCCCGTTCCAGAAATCGATGCTGGACTCCCGCCAAATCTTGGCGCCATTTTTGGCGGGGTCCATGGTGGCCCTGGTGGAGGAATCAGCAGCCCTCGTCGATCTTGACAATGACTTCCCGCCGGTCGGACAAGTCGAGGTCAGTCATCGGCTGGCTGTGGTGGCGGTGGTCGTGATCTAATAGAATGGGGAGCTCCTCGTGGTTAGGGTCGTCTGCTCCGGCGGAGATCTTCCTCGTGTGCTTGGCAGAGCCATGGGATTTAAATGATTTCTTGATGGAGAAGTCCATTACACTACGACACTACTATTAATTATAATAAAAAATCTTCTGCTAATTAAAAATTAGTCTTTTTTCTGTTAAATTTAAGGGAAAAAAACAATAAAAAACTATAATGTGAGAGGAGTTGAAAAAAATTAGAGAGAGGTTTGAAATTTTGTATTTAAGAATTAGGGTTCGTAGTTCGTTGGAATTAGGTTAACGCGTGTACTGGTATTTGTATAACAAGACGAAGCTTCGGTTTTAAAGAGTTAATTAAGAGCATGGGAAGAGAGAGAGAGAGAGAGAGTGAAGCTGCAACAGAGAAACGTGTTGCCCGCTCTGCATGGGAATTAGTCCGGCTATATAGCAAATGACACTAAGTTGGGTGTTTAATTACTATTGTGCCATTATTGGTTTTCTTAGGGTAAAAAAAAAAAAATAACAACAACAAAAAAAAAAAAACCTTGAATTAGTATACATAAAAATTTGCCATTACTAAAAAATTGAATTACCATAGGCTAGTAGTAATGTTTTATTCATATCATAAGCATGTAAACAAATTAACCATATCGGGCAATATTAAAACTCATGCAAGGAAATTTTCTCGTACAAAAAAACTCACGAGAAAACAATGTTGATACAAGAAAGCTATGAATTGATGATGTTTGAATTTTACTTCGAAGAGCTCCTTGTTTGGATAGATGCAATTTATGTGTCAATTTAATAGATATAAAGTTTGAAAAGTTACCTAACAAATTAAATAAGTTTTATGAGGAATGATTTAGAGTTAGATCCCAAACTCAATCAATTAGTCACACCCTTTTTGGGTAAATTTTGTTAGTTTTACATTCCTATTACTCCCTAAAGTATGAGCAGAAAAAATAAGCATTTTACGCTAGTCAGTGGCGAAGGAGGTGCAGCCGTGTCTCCGGTCGTCGAAAAATGCCACTAAAACTCATAAATCCGACCATGTGCTATGCTGGTGCCCTGCAACAGTGCCTTTCCAGTTTTCCCTTTTGCTTCGACGCTGCGATCAGTTGGGATTTCTCTTTCTTTTTTTCTTTTTTTTTTTTGTGAAATAGCTATTCCAAAACGGCCTTGTCTTGGTCTTGGCTAAAAATGACACTTTATGAAATTGCGAATCCTTCTTCGAATGATATTATAAGAAACAATGCTTAAATATTTCTTCAAATATCTGGGTAGTCCTCCTTCGAATCCTTCTTTAAATATTCCGGAGTCCTCATTCGATTCCTCCTTTGAACATTCCGGGTAGTTTAAATCCTCCTTCGAACATTCCGGGTGGTTACATTTTTACTTTTAATTGGTCTTTCGTCATTGTGAGTCCATTGGGTGGAATCAACCTAGCTGAAAACATTTGCAGGAGCCAGTACATAAAAATTTTATTTATATTTTTCAAAAGTTTATTTGTATAAATGAATTATGATACCCAAAAAAAAAAGTTACTTTTATTATATTTCTTGTAAGAGATTTATTTGTAAATTTGGGCATGCCACACGAACAAGAAGGGCAAAATGGGAAATGTGCAGCACACTGACTCGAGCTTCGCGGGCTTAACTGGGGCGTTTACTTCTCTTCTTCTAATTACGTGGCGCTGTTCCATTCGGACCCCATAAAAAGCCCGCGAAATTTTTTTCAAACGACAAACGGTGACGCATTCGAACCCGCATCGACACAGTATACCCCAAACATCAATATTACGTGGCACGCATCTAACGGACTGTTTCTTCACCTCGGTGTAACAGTACAACTGTGCAACAATACGGCCGTAAAGTACGCGCTACGTGTCCGAAAACAAAGAGTCTACGGCAATGTTTGAATCGGTGGCAATTCCGCCGATCCTTCCCCTTATTTTTCTCTCATTTCTTGTTTTCCTCCTAGCCAATTTTCCAAGTTTCATTTGGCTTGGTTGCAATGGCAACATGGTGGTGGTTTGTTTAAATTCTAATCCGATCATGAGAAATGTCGTTTTTGAAAACCATCCACCTTCCTTATTTGTGATGGTGAGAGAAAAATGACAAATAAATAGAAATTTTGTTACGCATAAGTGGTCCTACTAATAGAATTTGAAACTTTTAACTCGAGTTTAAATTCTTAAGAATGTTTTTTTGGGTCACCAACTCTGCTTTAATGTACTTTTGATCTGAAAGTCAAAAGTACGTCAATGTCTCATGTAGTACTTAGGGTACATAGAAAGATATATTTTTTTTAGTACATTGATATTTTTACACTCAGGAGAATGAGAAGTTTGGCTAAGCCACATAATAGGCAGTCTAATTTGGTATCGAATTCATCATCCACGAGATTCGGGCCTAAGATCTCTCACTTCTAAGTGAAGAGGATTACCATAAGATCGTAGTACTGAGTCACATAAAAAAGGAGAATTAGTTTTATCACAATATGTGGTGGAATACATGTACGTATGGGCGTGTGTGGTCCAAATAACTAATTTAGGACCAAATTGAAAAAGAAAAACTGCTAATTCCTAAATGTTAGCAAGGTTTTGATTCGGGAATATTGATGTGAAAGAATATTCATAAAGCCTCTTTTTTTTTTTTTTTTCTTTTTTTTTTTCTTTTTTGGGGAAAACTATAAAGCCTTTTTTTTGGCGGATCAAGATCCTTTCCTAAGCAAATGGTGAGAATCCTCCTAACCAGGTCTATCGGGCTGTTCAAAGTTTATCCAACGGCTACAATTATTATAACTTTTAAAGAAACTCTTTGTTTGTAGCCATTGAATAAAATTTGAACGATCCGATAGACGTGATCAGGAGGATCCTCACCATTTGCTTAGGAGATGATCCTGATCATTTTTTGGCTACCCAAAAATAGAACTTCCTGTTTGCTTTTCAGTCGCCTTGAATTTTCATTACCCTTTGTAAAGAGGATAGTGAAAGCCAAAAAGGGATAAAGTGTCCCACTGCTAAGTGCTCTAAGCTCCTGTATATAGCAGGATTCTCATCATCTTTCTTTTCTTCTTACATTTTATTTTTTGTCTTATTGTCTCTATTAAAATATTAATATAGAATGTTAATGTGATTTAATTGTAACCGTTCAAGTATGAGAAGATGATGGAAGATGAGAGAGATTAGGAGGAGAGAGAATCTCCTCCCCGATATATTCCACACAAGTCTAGCATCATCTTTTTTTTTTTTCCTTCCTAAATTATAGGTTACTATGCCAGTGTACTTTCTTTATGCACGAGAGTTCGATACTCAATTTATAGTTTACCTTAGTTTAAAATAGAATTTCGTTGGCCACTTAATACTAGAGTTTAGTGGCATTCCTCTTCATTTGTAAGTGAGAGGCTTTAGGTTCGGTTATCGCCAAGGACAAATTTGAATTATATTATTGCTAGCCCATTGTAAGGCTTATATCTCCCACACCCCTTAGTGTATATAATATCATTTGTTCGCCACTTAATACTATAGTCTAGTGGTATTCCTCTTCACTTATAAGTGAGCAATCTTAGGTACGATTCTAACCAAAAACGAATTTTAACCACATTATTGCTAGCCTATTATGAGACTAAACCTACCTCATTCCCCCTTAGTGTAAATAATATCGTTTGTTAAAAAAAAAAAAAAAGAATTTTGTTAGTACCATAAAATAATACTTAGGAGGCTTAACCCAATTCCAGGCCCAACCGTGGTACTCCCATTTCGAACTAATTTAATCCTACTTAGGGGGGAGATTGAGCTGTAAATTTGGTTGACTTTGGCAGCCGGGTCCATTTCACAATCGGTATTAAACCTTAAAAGGCCCGTTTGGATTGCTAATAAGCACTTTTACTACAAGTGCCTCTATTGTAAGTACATTGAAAGGCCCTTCCCCAAAAAGCACTTCTACCTAAAAGCATTTCTTATGTTTTCTGCCAAAACAGCTTTTAGTGGTTGATTGTTTGAGACGTAGTCCCAAATAGATACTAAATTTACATTACATACGAGCGAAAATCTAAATCATATTACATACACTAATAAATATATTCAAAATCCCTTCCCTAAATAGCACTTCTACCTAAAAAATGCACTTCTACCTAAAAGAACTTCTAACTTTTCCTGCCAAAAGAGCTTTCCGTTAACAGTTTCTGCCAAAAGAGCTTTAAGTTAACTATTTCCAAATAAATTCTAAATCGTATTAAGTACAAGTAAAAATGTAATTGTATTACATACAAGTGAAAAGTAATGGAGTCACATTAATAAGATATTGTCATTGTTGTCCACTTTTGCATTGAAAGAAACTCACAACAACTATTGTCATTGTAAAACATCACCACAACATGTTCATCCAACCCATTACCATTACATTCAGAACTGCTGCTACGATATGAAATATTAAAAAGGCAGAAAGGCTCTAACGAGTTATCGGTTGGACGTAATACTGTACATGGTATATGTGAAATGGTTGGGGAACTCCCTGTACTGCACTAATTCCTTTTGATAGGTAAAAAACATCTGCTTGCCTTGGTTAGTGATGACCCCCGTCTCAGGATGGACAGAAATCCTCCCGATGATTTGTGTCGTTCCACTCCGTCATCAACCTGTTCAATAAACTTGGTTTAGTGGTCACCTTTGCTCATATTATACATGTTTTGCCAAGTAACTGCAACCAGAATGTATACCTCTTTGGCTAATGCCTGCAGAATCTCTATGATTTCTGAGAAATCAGGTCTTGATACTGGATCTTGCTGCCAGCATTTATCGAGCAGCTCGGCAAGCTTGGGAGGAGTATTCATTGGGATGGTCAGCCGTAAGCCCTGGAAAGACGGTAGGCAAACTTATACACAGTCCATCGTTTGAATAAAAGATGTACCACTCAAAGGGTTTATCATTTTCTCCCTGGGCGGGCACTAAGCCAGTCACACAAGTGGTTTCAGCTCCCAACGATTAATTAGTGATTAAGAGAACTAATCGTAGCTGAACAAGGGTAGAAGAATATGTCTCTGGTCACTAACTAAACAAAATTGTAGAATGATAGTGTACCTTTTGGGCAACTCCGACGGCTGCTTGTAATGGGGTCAAGTGTTCATATGGAAGCTGCCGATTTAAACCGAAGAAATCAGAAACAAGAGCAATAGTAAAAGAAATGATAAACTAAATGATGCTATCGACAAGCAATACCTTTCCAGTCAGTAACTCCAATAACACAACTCCAAAGCTAAAAATATCCGCCTTGTGATCATATGGCTTGTGTTCTATAACTTTCAATGGAAAAGAACTGTTGTAAGGAAATTAATGCCAACTAGAATTCATGTAATAGGAAAACACAGACACAGACTCATGGAGGAAATTTGGTAGCAAACAATGTATTAAAGGGCGGAGGTGTGGGCAAGGCGTTCCATGGATAGCCCCGCTTAGGCGTGAGGTGAAGCCTCACGGGACCTAAATTTTTGTGTATATAAAATATAATTCTTTGTAAAACAATTAATCAACAATAAAACAAGCAGCCAAGACTAAATTGAGATTAGAATACTAAAAAACTTAATTGAATTTTAAAACAATTGTGGTGTTCTGGAGAATTTTGAAAGAAATTGAAGTATAATATTGGGGTAACATTGAAATATGAGATTGCGATTGAGAATTTTGGATCTGAGGAATTGGGGAATTGTGGAATTGGGTGAACTGTGATTGGGAATGGGATGGGGAAGAAGGGGAATTGGGGGTTATATTTTTTTTTATTATAAATAAAATTAGACTTGGCCTTGTATTTTAAAAATAATTAAAAAAAATATTAGATTTGGTCAAACGACGTCGTTTTGGGCCAAGTCATTTGAAAAAAAGTTAAAAAACTTGGCCAAAATGACGTCGTTTTGAGCCAAGTCTGAGGGAAAAAAAAAAAAAGCCCTTTCTCTTCTTCACGGTCGTCTTCTTCGTGAAGACGCCGCTGCTGAAACTTGAGAAAAACCATCAGGCAGCTGCTGCAACATGGCCATCCTTTGACTTCGAGGTCCCCAGCAAATTTCAAGCAAGTTTTCGTCCACCTCAAACTGCCCTAAGGCGCGCCTCAACCGCCTAGGTGAGCCCCCACAACCCTAGGCGAGTTTTTCGCCGACTTCCACAAAACAAAGGCGGCAAGCCACCCGCCCAGCCTTCGAGGCCACCTAGGCATGCCCCAATGCGAGTATTTTAAAACACTGGTAACGAATAACCATTTTCTTAAACGTTGCTTTCATTTTCCACTACTACAAAACCATTTATTAGTGTTGCTATGATAACCGACAAGAAATGTACATTACTATCGGATTTTAAGCAAAATTCGACAGAAAATGGATGTAGTGGCAGATATAATAAGCGACAGAATTGCCAGCATCAGGAAATAAATTTTTCGACATAAAATATTCTAAAACCGACAGAAATTGTGTCAGATATAAACGACCGGATATATATTTATAATAAATAAATAAGAGAATTTCTATCGATAAAACCGACAGAAAGTACTAAACCTGCGGCCACTTGTGTCGGATATAACCGACATAGAATTTATTAATAGAAATAAATAAAATCATTCTTGTCGGTTAAAACTGACAGAAAATATATTAATAATAAAAAAAATATAAACCACTATGCATTTTCCATATCCCCTACACTTTCTGCATTTACCATCTGAAACCTCGCTAGAGCTCGATCTCGAAAACCTCAGGGTCCTTAAAGTCTTAGGCAAGGGAGCAATGGGCACTGTTTTCTTAGTCCACGACCCGTCATCTGACCCCTCTACCCGTCGCCCGTTCGCTCTCAAAGTTGTCGACAAGTTTGCCTTTCACTTCAAGCTAGAAGCCGACCGCCACGCCCGTTGGGAAATCCAGGTCCTGACCAGACTATCCAGCCTGAACCCTTTCCATCATGGGGTCGTTCGAGTCCGACGAGTTCATGGGATGGGCTGTTCCTTACTGCCCCGTATTTGAGGTGTCTCGAGCAGCATCAGCACCGTAATGCTATGCTAACCATTTTGAGCGACAACATCCACTCGTAGCACCACCACCAACAACATCCAATCCACTGAAACAAACAACACAAAATTATTCAAGTTTTTCAACCTCTCGCCCGAGTAACTACTAACTACTAACAAATTTTAGCAAGTTTATTTGTACCCACAGTTCTCCATATGAGAGACAGTGAGATAGAGACAGAGGGGGAGAGAGAAAGAGAGAGAGAGAGAGAGAGAGAGAGGAGAGTGTTACCAAAATTGGCTCCAGAATCTTCATTTTAAGCTCCGATAGAAGGCGCATAAGGCTCAATGGTGCAGGCAAACCAGCCTTTGCGCAAAGATCAATCAGCAATGGGAATGTGATCCCATCTTTCACAATCTTCCATAACTCTAAAACGAACCCATCTCTGTCAATGACATTTTAGGTTTCATAAACGAAGTCAATCGTTGGGGCAAATCTGTTTTTGTCCAAACATACCTGATAGGGCGAAGAACCGTCATTTTCCAAAGACCTATAAACATTCACAAAATGCCCCAAATTCTGAAACTTCAACACAACCCTTTCAACCTCTCTACCAGTATTGCCCCGATTTCGCAATATCTAACGCATAGTATATGAAAGCGAAATCGTTGAACCCGTCCTTTGATTGGCCAGCATACCCGAAAACGAATCGAAGCCAACAAAACCAGACTCTAAGAGCACAACTTGTACAACAATCACCAATAGCCTGTGATTGCTACGGTCGTCTCTTAACTCCTCCCTCTGTACCTTCTTCAAGAATTAGGTTTATGAACTTTGGTTGTAGGTGTTCGAACTGGAAGTAAATGAGGAGAAAAGAGAAGGAGAAGGAAATAAGGAGAGGAGAAAAGGGGGAAGGGAGAAGCATCGGCGTAAGGAAGAGATGGAGGGGTTTTATTTTGGACTTAGAGTCTTTTCTATTACTGTCAGTTAAAACCGACAGAAACATTTTTTTAAAATAAAAACCAACAGACAATTATCATTAATGTCGGTTATAACTGACAGAAAAAAAATAGCGGCAAAAATTCCCCCCAAAAATTTAAAAAAAATAAAATAATAATTGTTTGGTTTAATAAATAAATAAATAATATGTATTTAAATAGAATATGTTTTTAAAAATTAAATAAATAATTGTTTGGTTTAATAGATAATTTTCACACTTTTGGTTTAATAGATAATAATCCATGTAAAATATGCGATAAAAAAACAAAAAGAGAATTGTACGATGAAAATGTCATCACACAAACTAAATATTGTCTAATCAATACTTGAAAAACATAAATAAAAATTTAGCACAAATTTCTTTTCCCAGTTCAAAATTTAGGCAAATTTAACAAAGATATGTATTCTACGAAAATAGTTTTCATGATCTAACCATCAAACTTGTTTGTAGATACTACAAGATCGCATACGTAAAAAATCGTAAAAAACAAACATTCAAAAATTACGTAACGGAACAAAAGTTTTCGACGATTATAAACAAAAATTCACAATTTAATGGTTATTTTAGCTTCGATTTTAATAATTTTTTACAGCTCCACTCCTCGACCCTATAAGAATGTAATGTATAAATTTGATCTTCAATTTAAAATATTTACACTAGTGGATACCACAAAATCTTATTTTATACTTAATGGAAGTATAACATTAACTCTAAGTGTTTGTTTAATCTACCGTTTTGATGCGATACACATTCTATGAAGCGTTTTTCAATGATCCAACCGTCAAACTTGTTTGTACACACTCTGAGATCGCATACATAAAAAATCACAAAAAACAAACATTAAAAGATTAGGTAACAAAACAAAAGTTTTCGACGGTTATAAATGAAAAATCACAATTTAACGGTTACTTTAGCTTCGATTTTGATGATTTTTTTACAGCTACACTCCTCTACCCTATAAGAATGCATTAAATGAATTTGATCTTCAATTTAAAATATTTACAATAGTGGATACCGCAAAATCTTATTTTATACTTGATGAGGAAGTATAACATTAACTCCAAGTGTTTGTTTAATCTACCGTTTTGACTCGATATGCATTCTACGAAACTTTTTTCAATGATCTAACCGTCAAACTTATTTGTACACACTCTCAGATTGTATATGTAAAAAATCGTAAAAACAAACATTCAGATATTACGTAATGGAACAAAAGTTTTCGACAGTTATAAACGAAAAATCATAATTTAACGGTTATTTTAGCTTCGATTTTAATGATTTTTTACAGCTACACTCCTTGATCGTATAAGAATGCAATGAATAAATTTGATCTTCAATTTAAAATATTTACACTAGTAGATACCAAAAAATCTTATTTTATACTTAATGGAAGTATAACATTAACTCTTAAATGTTTATTTAATCTACCGTTTTGACGCGCTACACATTCTACGAAACGTTTTTCAATGATCTAACTGTCAAACTTGTTTGTACACATTATGAGATCACATACGTAAAAAATCACAAAAAACAAATATTCAGAGATTAGGTAACAAAACAAAAGTTTTCGATGGTTATAAACAAAAAATCACAATTTAACCATTATTTTAGCTCCGATTTTGATGATTTTTTACATCTACACTCCTCGACCCTATAAGAATGCATTGAACGAATTCGATCTTCAAGTTAAAATATTTACACTAGTGGATACCACAAAATCTTATTTTATACTTGATGGGAAATATAACATCAACTCTAAGTGTTGGTTTAATTTACCATTTTGATGCGATACGCATTCTACGAAACATTTTTCAACGATCCAACCGTTAAACTTGTTTGTACACACTCCAAGATCGCATAAAAAATCGCAAAAATTAAACATTCAGAGATTAGGTAACGAAAAAAAAGTTTTTGATGGTTATAAATAAAAAATCACAATTTAACGGTTATTTTAGCTTCGATTTTGATGATTGTTTACAACTACATTCCTCGATCCTATAAGAATGCAATGAATGAATTTGATCTTCAATTTAAAATATTTACATTAGTGGATAAATCTTATCTTATACTTAATGGAAGTATAACATTAACACTTAAGTGTTTGTTAAATCTATCAATTTGATAGGATATGCATTCTACGAAACTAGTTTCAACGATCCAAATGTTTGTATATACTCCGAGATAGCATGTGTAAAAAATCGCAAAAAAAAAAAAAAAAAAAAAATATTTAGAGATTATTCTGGCGGTCGTCCAAAATTTTGCTTTGTTCATGTCGGTTATATTCGACAGGGCCATGAGTGAATTTTTTTTTTTTAAACATGTGTTTATTTATTTTTAATCAATATAACATTTTAAAATAATAAAATCAAACATGATAGAGTACACCAGATGTTCATGTGTGTTTATGTGCCAGACAATGTGCTTTATGACGCATTGAAAAAAAATTGTTTGAATTTCTTTGTATCTTGTTGCTTGCCTGTGAGGGAGCATAATTCTTATTACAAAAATGATAGAGCTTCAGATTGTAGTCTGTTTTTATTATTCTCTCATAAAATTTATGGCTCTTGGGAATTGGGTTCATTAGGCTTTAGGGTCACGAGTGAAATTTTTTTTTTTTAAAAAAAAAATGTGTTTATTTATTTATTTTAATCAATATAAAATTTTAAAACAATAAAATTTTCATTTCTGTCAGTTATAACCGTCAGAATACTAAAATAATAACCGTCAGAAAGTAAAATAATAAAATAGTTAATTTCTGTCGGTTATAATCGCCACCATTAACTTAAAAACCGCCAGAATCTATAAAAAATATTTAAAAAAAAGATTAAAAATACCGTCGGTTATAACTAACATGATTTTGTTGATATCTGCCACTAAAAATCTGTTAGGACTTTATGTCGGATATAATTGACATAATTTTTCTAATATCCGCCATTAATTAAATGATCTGTCGGATATAATTTATCCGACATGATTTTTCTAATATCCGCCATTAATTAAATGATGTGTTGGATATAATTTATCTGACATGATTTTTCTAATATCCGCCACCATGATCCGCCACCTAAAGCTAATGTTGTAGTAGTGTTCAAGCGCACTCTTCAATAAGAACTTAAAAAAAAAAATGTTATCATATCATAAAATGTGATAAGTAGGAAGGGCATCTGGAGTTACAAAGAGAGCTGTGCGCATGAGAAACCCTAGGGTACAACCCAGATTAGTCTATAACTCCATGCTGACTACTTAATTGATGACAAAGGTTGCCAATTGCTCATCACTAAGGTTTACCCGCACAGATGCCAATTGGGCATTTAGTTTTTATATTTTAATATTAGGTGAAAACCAAATTATGTAGTCTAATAATCATCTTAGATAATGCTACAGAGGCTAAATTTTGTAAATAAAATTTTGAAAACTAAATGACATGGAAGTTGATGATAAGCGTCGTGCTCATTTTTATTGGTAAAACATCATTTAGTTTGCAAATTTTGTCTACAAATTTAGTTTCCCTAACAGTATCCATCAATCTCTCTCTTATTAGGCTATTGATTAGGACCAGAATAAATTTCATACACACTCCCACCGGACATATATTCTGCCATACGACGAGAACAAATCTTAAAAGAAAGGAACACTACAAGAAAAATGGGCTAAGAACACAATTGATTTGTGCCCTTCTCATTTTCATTGAGCACAAATACATAATTGTGCTTTATAAGGTCCATTGTACACCCAAATATTTCAATTGTGCCCTCTAACAAAAAAGCACATTAGTTTGTGTCACGTATTTGTGCCTACAAAGGTTTGAACACAAAATTTTGTGTCCAGCTTGCATGTGTCCTTTTAATGTCAGAGATAGATATTATTTTATTAATTTCCAAACACACAATAAAAGGGTTTTGTGCCCTCTAATTTAATATATTTAAATAAATATTATTTTTTTATCCTTTAGATTTACTTTTACTCTACTTAACGCCTCTCTCTCTCAAACTCTCCTTGTCCTTAGCCACCTTCCTTTCCCCCGCCCGTATCCTCTTTCTCCCCCTTTTTCTGCACGCAACAGCACCGCCGTCCTCCGATCACCAACGACCGTCAAATTATACCTCAAGAATCCTATTTCTGTCCTCTTTCCAACCCCCAAGTTAGTTTCTACAAATTCATAGCCGGATTTCCTCAATTTCATATCTAAGAAATGGTGACCGCGGATTTTTTTGGCCAGTTTTCGGCCAAGCCTGGCAGAATTAGACCTCGATCCTAGAGGTAAAGATGATCATCTCTTAGTGGGTTGTCCTCCAGTGTAAGTTCTTTTCTAAAATAAAAACTTTCAGTTTTGGGTTCCATTTTAGATTTTGAATTTTAATTCCCTTTTCTGTATGCATGTCAAAGTTTACTCGCTTGGAGACTGCTCGGAATTTCAAAGTTTAGTCGCATGTAATATTCTTGTTTTAAATTGGTCATTTAATTTTTAATGTTTATAGCTTATTGTAGTTTGTTTCATCAACTTTTCTGGCATTTTTTGTTTAAGTTTTCTGTTTTGGG